TGGGCAAGTTGCACACCAGCAGCACTTGGAGACTTGGATGGATAATGCACAAAATCCTTGGAAGAAAACGTGCATTCTTAGCAGTTCATGCCGTTAAGAACATAGGAATGTAAGATGAGCCCTGCTGGATCACAGCAAAGGTCCATCTAATCCAGCATCCTCTTTTCAACAACGGCTGACCAGATGTCTCCAGGAAGTCCTCAAGCTTGTTATGAATGCAATGACCTTTCAGCATTGCATGTTCCCTGCATCTGGTATTCAGAGGTAGCCTGCTATTTTCCACTGTCATTATTTATTATGTGTTGACAGCACTACCCTCCACAGATTCACTGATACCCCCCTTTTTTTTTTTTTGCCTTCAAGTGACAATGTAAAATCATCTGTATATGGCATGGTGGTCCTCTCCATGTTGTTGGGCTTCATCTCCCATCAGCTCCAGCCAGTATGGACGATGGTCAGAGTTAATGGGAGCTGCAGTCCAACATCCTCTGGAGGGCCACAGGTTGCCTACATGAAATGGACCTTTGATGGCTCCTTTTATGTTTGCAACTCTTAAAAGGCACAACTGACCTGTATTGTTGTGCTCCTATATGTCCACTCTTGCTTAAGAGCATAAGAAGTGCCTTGCTTGGCTCAGACAAGGCCCACTTAATCCAGCATTCTTTGCAAAAATCTCAACAATCTGCAGTCAGTCAGTGGTCCATCAGAAAGTGGCTAGTGATCCCTCCCCTTGCTGCCCAACCCTGTTGGAGAGACATGAAGTGGGAGGGCAACTGAACTTTGCATCCTCCTGTTTTATCAAAATGGATCCCTTATACACCCAGTAGATTGCTTTGGTCTGCAGGAAAGTTTCTCCAGCAAGTTCCAAAGATCTCAGAACCTTGTTCCGTGGTAATTCAGAGCAGGGCTTTTAGTGTGGCTGCCCCCATTTTGTGGAATAGCCTTCCTATTAAGATACAACAAGCTTTTTCTGTCCTTTCTGGAAACCAATTGAACACATTTTTGTTCTGACAGGCTTTCCCATCTGGATGAATGGATCTTTACCACAATTGTCTAATTTTTTAGGGGTTTAGTCTTGTCTTAAATGTATTTGCTGGTTTTGTGTTTTTAACTATTGTTAATGACCTTTAGCATGCATCATCTTGAGAAGGTTGTTTTGAAGGTGATCAATAAATAAGTAATGATGATGATAATTTATAGCCTGATACAATCTCCTTTAATGCTTTCTCTCTCCCCTCCCCACCTGTCTACATGTGTTATTTTGATAATGATGGTGTTCTGGATGCCCACAATAATCTAAATCGCCATTGCAGTGAAGAGACCATGACGTTATTACTCTGAAATATGTGGCTCAATATTTCATTGGCCTTTTTTTGGCCGCCACGTTGCAGAACTAATGATTTGGTTGCTGTCTGTCCCCCTCCTGAGGGGCTCGTTTAAACATCACTGTTTCCAGGTACTTCTCCTTTCTACTCCATATCTGGGTTTTCGATTAGCCTTGTCCAGATGTATCAGATGCCTTCATTTTAGTTCCAAGTTCAATTTAATTTTATTATTTTTCTCCCCACTTTCCAATTTTGTTAAACCAGCTGTTGGGTGAAAATGGGTTAGGTTTCATTGGTGTCCTCCCTGTCACCCACAGGCATCTCCTTCGGCCTCTTGGCTGAATCCTACCACTCACTGCATCGATGTCTAGCCTCTAGCCTTTACTTCTAAGATTTGAAGAAGAGTTGTAGCTCAGTATTAGAGCATCTGCGTCGCATGTCAAAGGTCCCAGGTTCAATCCCCAACATCTCCAAGTCAGGCTTGGGAAAGTTCCTATCTGGTGAGCTGCTGCAGATCAGTCTAGATTAGGGTGAGGAACCTCCTGCAGTCTGTGGCCTGCAAGTAGCTACAGGATACAATCAAGGTCAAGAGGGAGTCATGGCCACAAGGAACCAAACTCAGATGCAGGATTATAGGAAGTTGCCTTATACAAAGCCAGGGCATTGCTCTGTCTAGCTCAGTGTTGTCTGCACAGACTGGCAGAAACTCTCCAGGGTTTCAGGCAGAAGTGTTTCTCCGTGCTACCTGAAGATGCCAGGGATCTTCTGGATGAAAGCAGATGCAATACTCCTGAGCTATGACCCTTCCACATACATCCAGACCTGGAGAGAGAGAGAGTTGTCTGGTTTGGGGGCAACACGATGGGCTAGATGGCCAAAAATAGATAGATGGTCTGGTATAAGGCAGCTGCCCCAGCTCTATTTCCTATGAGTCCTTGAGACAAAGACACACCCCACACCCCCACACCCTGCAGCCAGTTTGCTTTTCTTTCTGGGAAGGAAGGGGAATACGTTTGACCAATTTGGAGTGGCACCTGCTGGGACCTGTCAAGGCAGGCTGTGAAAATCTGAAGGGAGCCACATGGCTGGATCATCCTTGTTGCCTTTCAAGCTACCGTGTTTGATTGACAAGGTCTTATCAGTCCAGGGTGATTTCCAGAAGAGCTTCAGGAAGGCAAATGAGTCAGCAGACTTAGCAGATGTAAATTCCCAAAGATGGTGATAATTAACTTGCGCCTTGTGTTGCCGCCTTCCCAGCCATCAAGTCACATGCAAGAGCTCCTTTGTGTGAAATGTTGTTTTTGTTTAAAGAGCTAACTGAGAGAAAACACTCCTCATGACATCTCACTGTCTGCCTTCATCTAGTTTCCCAGTCACCAACCAGATAAACTTCTGATGGATCTAAATAAGGCCAAACCCCAGTTGGAAAATGTGGATTTTCCACCAGTTATTTCCTCACATTTCCCATCACAGCTATTGGTCTCATACTTGTAAAGGTGCAGTGATTGGAAATTATAGATGTAGTTTATGTCAATTCAACTCCACCTTTTTGCCAAGAAGTTCATGGTGTTCATGGTCGCAACCCATCATTTTGACTTCCCAACAAATCTCTGAGGTATTTTTTGCTGAGAGGCAGTAACTAGCCTTCTGAGCGGGGTTTTGAGTCCTGGTCCTCCCTGTCCTAATCTGATACTCTGACCACTATGCTGTTCTAGTTTAGAGATGGATTGTTAAAGCACTCGGGGAATTAATATTCACATTTCCCCAAGCTAATTTCCCAAACATAATGCATTTTTGTGTGCTATTTTCACTAACACGCATTTTCGTTCATACACGTTCTGTACACTTCATCTAGATGGAGAAGGGCATTGCAAAATTTAGCGTTAAGTTGGGAGCTTTCCATTAAAATGTGAACCAAACTTTATTTCTCCCCCATTCCACACACATACACACTGTTTGGTTTATTAAAACGTTAAAATTCTTGATTAAAAACCCCCAGTTAAAACAGGTATTTGAAAACACTTCAAAATGATCAAAATCAGCAGTAGCTGATGTAATTTCTACATGTCTCTGTAATTTCTGCTTGTCTGGGTAGGCCTGCCTACACAAAAACGTTTTAAGAAGGTGCCGATAAGTATACAGTGAAGACGCTTGCCTAATGTCAACAGGCAGGTACAGTGGTACGTCGGGTTAAGTACTTAATTCGTTCCGGCGGTCCGTTCTTAACCTGAAACTGTTCTTAACCTGAAGCCTCCCGCTGCCGCCACACTGCCAGAGCACGATTTCTGTTCTCCTCCTGAAGCAAAGTTCTAAACCCGAGGTACTATTTCTGGGTTAAGGGAGTCTGTAACCTGAAGCGTCTGTAACTTGAAGCGTATGTAACCCGAGGTACCACTATAGTTCGAAAGTGTAGGTGCTGCCACACTACAATATCAGTTCTTACAAGTGCATGGACTAGTATTATGTGGTATCTACATCTATCATCTATCTATCATCTATCTATCTATCCTCACTTCAGTGAAAGTATTGGTTTATTTGTAAACACCCCAAGCAGAGCTGTATGGCATTAAGGCTCTGTTACTGTGATGTGTGTGCCAGTTCAATCTCTGCAATCCCCGTCTGCTCCCACTTATTACATCATGAAGGGCAGAGACAAATGGGGCAAGACGGACGAATTTATTAGCCCTCCTGATATGTTAAAAGCATTCTGTCAAAGAATTTGAAAAATGCTTCTCATATTTAAGCATCCAGAGACAGCAAATTCCCCTCTTGAGGGAGGAGAGGCATGCAAAACCCATCAGGACCTCAGTGTGGAAATCCAGAAACTGGCTTGTGGTATCCACTTACTGACGAATTGGTATTATTTAAAAGCCACGTGAGGGTCTCATAGTCGGCAGTTCAGGAGAAATGCAGGTCTCATCTCTATAAAGGAGTTGGGAGAACGGGGTGGGGGGGGACTCTGAGTTGGTAAAATGGTGAGATTAATGGGACCGGGAGAAGCTGTTGACAGAAGATCTAGAGGGGAACAAAATTGGAAAAGTGATCCTCATTTGGCTGCAGCCCTTGACAATTAACAAAAGTCTCAAAGCTTTCTGCAGATGCAGCCTGTGGCAATAAAAGGGCTGCCTGGAAAGAAATAAGTATTTGATGCACACATCAGAGAGTCTATAATTCCACTATGCACATTCGCTTCAGTAAATGAACTCCCAGATCACAGAAGGTGGGATTCAGCGTGAATGAAGGTTGTGCAATTGACTATAGTAAAATGGGGGCTTCTCCCTCCCACCACCATTAAGGACAATCCTGGCTGGCCTTTTTATTTAATGTATTTAGATATATTTTTAAACAGCTTAATATTTTCTTTAGAAATACTAAGTGCAAAATGTAAGAACACTCAAACAATGTAATAAAACAGAGCAAAAAACAAGCAAGTTTAGTCCAATGTATTAAATATATATATTCAGTTTATGACATATATTTTCAGGCCAGTGGGCACATTTGGATTTTTGAGCAGATGCTATGGGCACCACCCTCTCTGGTCCCTTTTCTCCTCCCTCCTCCATATAAGCCTGGAAGTTGTCGTAGGAAGTCAGTCCATTGGTCCATCTCACTCAGTATTGTATACACTGACTGGAAGTGGATTGCCAGGGTTTCAGACCAAGGCCTCTTCCTAACTGGAGATGCCAGGGATTGAACCCAGGGCCTTCTGTGTACAAAGCAGCTGTTATACCACTGAGCTATACCCCTTCTCCACCCCCCATCCCCATGAAAGAGACATGTACTGGAAGGAGTGACTGGTTGGCTCCCCTTGTGTGTTGGCACTGTGCTCCTTGCCACCACGTTGCCCCTCCCACTCTCTCTCCCAGTAGGTCCCAGTGATAATGGTGGCAGCAGATCAGGTTTGTGCTGCTGGCCTGACCCTCTGACCACTACTGGTGAAGGTGGATTTCATTGCTCGAGACTTGATAATTCTAAACAATTATGAACTTTCTCCATTAAAAAGTCTTGCATTTGAGCTGATGTTGGAGGATATGAAAATTCTGTTTATGATAGTTCATCTGTGATAGCTCTTTCAACATGCAAAATGAGTCGCCCCTTGAGGAGTCTTTCCTTGATTTTTTAAAATATTATATTATTATTGTTACATTTATATCACACCTTTCCTTTAAGGAGCTCAAAGTGGCACACACAATTCTCCTCCCTCTCCCCATTTTATCCTCACAACAACCTTGTGAGGCTGGTTAGGCTGAGAGGTAGTGACTGGTGTGAAGTCACCCAGTGAGCTTCATGGTTAAGTGGGGATTTGAACCCTAGTCTCCCACGTCCCAGCTCAGCACTCTAACCACTACACCACACTAGCTCTGCTCCAGATCCAAATACTTGTGTGAACCTAATGACTGGGGATGTAGAGAGATATTCAATACAGTTTGCATTTAGAGGCAAACCTTCCTAATCTGAGTTTTCCAACGCAATCTGAGAACTAAAAATGCCTTCCTTCAAAATTCGCACATCTATGAATTTTGCACTGCAAATCTCCAGTCCAGTCCAGTGGTACCTCGGGTTAAGTACTTAATTTGTTCTGGAGGTCTGTTCTTAACCTGAAACTGTTCTTAACCTGAAGCACCACTTTAGCTAATGGGGCCTCCTGCTGCTGCCGTGCCGCCGGAGCACGATTTCTGTTCTCATCCTGAAGCAAAGTTCTAAACCTGAAGCACTATTTCTGGGTTAGCGGAGTCTGTAACCTGAAGCGTATGTAACCTGAAGCGTATGTAACCTGAGGTACCACTGTAATGTGTACAATAATGCATATTGCACAAAAAGGGTGCATCAAAAGGCATACATTAGTGAAAGTAACATAAAATGCATTATAACAGGGAAAACTGTTTTGGAGAAATGTGTATATTAGGCAGAATTGCATACAAATATGTAAGTTAGAAGAAATGCAACTAAAATGCTGATCCATTTTCATCAGAACCTTATTTTAAAAAAGAAAACAAACTTAATGCAGATAACTGAATTTAAGGCTAGGAAAAAAATGGAAGGAAACTGAAAATGATAGATTTTTCCATCACTACGCACAATATCCATCTTCACTTGATGATTAAATGTATTTGCGAATGTCACAGTGACATTAGGCGCTTTCTTTTCTTTGCAACCAAATCGGGGTCACAGGCATAAAGAGCCTTGCGACTGTGTAACTGGGTTCCCTGAGGGAAAGAGGAAGCCATGAATATCACACTCATGGAAAGCTAGCCTCGACAAAATAGAAGAAGGTCGATCAGTAGCAACAGTTGGTGGATCATTCTGAATAAGGGTTACGGCAAATCTTCTGGATTTCATCAGAAAGAAATCTGCACTTCATCTTAACTCCTCAGGTTTTTCTGCCATAGACTGAAGGAATGCAACATTGGCTTACATCCTGGCAACTCCCACAAATGAGCCATTACCAAGTTAGACTGCAGTTCGCAAGCACAGCAGTTAGTAACTAGCATTAAAGGAAAAGCAGCTCCTGTTAGGTGAAGCAGAGGATGGGCAGACAATTGAGGAGAGTGACATGGGGTAGGGGTGGCATAGTGAATCACAGTTCTTGGACAGCACATATGTTTTACAACCAGAATTTGCCAGGTTCAGTCTCTGGTTCCAGCAGGGCTAAGAAGACCTCCGCCAAAGACCCTGAAGAACTTACGGCAACATATGTGAAGTAGGTGGACCAGTGGTATGATAATAAGGCATGTAGCTTTGTAGTAGAACTTAAGAATATAAGAAAAGCTTATGGTCCAACATCCTGTTGTCACAGTGGCAAGCAGGATTCAAGCACAAGAACATAAGATTCAGGACACTTAAAAGGATGTACTTATGTAGCACATAGTTCAGGCATCCCCAACCTGTGGCCCTCCAGATGTTTTGGCCTACAACTCCCATGATCCCTAGCTAACAGGACCAGTGGTCAGGGATGATGGGAATTGTAGTCCAAAACATCTGGAGGGCTGAAGGTTGGGGATGCCTGACATAGTTAAACTACAAAACTTGCTCTCACAGGGGCAGAGATGGCTACTAACTTGGGTGTCTATAAAAGATGATTAGACAAATTCATTGAAAAGTCTATTGATGGCTGCTAGCCAATTTGGCTATGTTCTGACTCCACAGCTGGAGACAGTATTTTTTCTGAATACCACTTGCTGGGTCCTGCTTGTAGGCTTCCCACAGGCATCTGGTTGGCCATTGTGAGAACAAGTTATTGGACTAGATTGGCCCTTGGCCTGATCCAGCAGGCTCTTCTTATGTTCTTATCTCCTCTAGATAAGACCTTCATTTGACAACTGCTATCAACCCAGCTTTCAGCTGAGCCTCCCTCCCTCCCTCTGCCGAGTTTTGTTGTGAAGATCATCACCATTGAAAAGGTGGTGTTTATGCGGGAAAGGATGAGCCACTGTAGTTATGTCCCTTGGGACCGGACGTTGGTGCTTTCCACTGATAAGCGCTCTTGGAAATAAGAATGGAAGGCTGCGAGAGGCAACAGGGCTGAAAAGCAAACAGATAAGGGAAGACAAATGGGGCGTGCTTATCAATTGTGGCACAACATCAAAAGGCTTTGCCCAGATGAGCTGGTTGAGATTTCTGGTTAACAGCTGCCCAAGTATAGATGAAGCTGAGAACGCTCTAGCCATCAAAACATCTGAATCTCTCTCTGGTTGCTGTGTTCAGCTGGAGTTAGACATAAAATAATTACAGATCTCTTGTTAAAGACAGCTGCACAGGGTACCCAGTCTTCTGGCATGAGAAGAACCTTTGTCTAGATCAGGGGTCAGGAACCTCAACTGGAAGCCCATCATCCTGTCAGGTCTGGTTCTGCCCCATGTGACCACAGTTTGGCATGTAGGTTTGACGCTACTTAAGGTACAAATTTTTGGCACAAAAGTTGTTTGAAAGGGGTAGACAAATTCAGAGCAGATAAACCATGATATCTAAGTAAAACTTCCAGGTTCAGAGGCAATATACCTTTTGCTAGTCTTTGGAGGCGGGGAATGTTGTGGAGAGCAGTCGCTTTCTTGCTCTATTCATGGGCTTTCCAGAATCATCTCAGGTCAGCCCCTGCTAGTAGCCACTGCTGGATGTCCCTGCTGGATTCTACGGACTTTACCGTTGTATGTCTTTATCAACAGCTCCATTCCTTAGGAGTGAAAAGGGCAAAAGAGTCAATTAGAAATAAGAAGGGGAGGGGAGTGTGTTTCTCTTCTGCCCAAGCAGTCTTGGTATTTCTTTAAAGGCTATTCTGGGTGGTTTCTTCAGAACTCCCAGCTGATCCATCCTTTACAAGCCCAGTTTGAAGACCCTCTTTCAATTAATGGATGCATTTGGCACAGTTGACACCTCCGTGTGAAGCATTTCTCTGTGGCAGCTCTGAGCCGCCAAGGCCCACGGATCCAAGCTCTTCAACAGCTGCTTTATCTCCGCTTCCCACCCACCCCAACCCCCGAGTTTTAAGATGAGCCTCCATCCCCTCTCTCACCCACCCCTGCCATAATATCTCACTCCAAGGTCCTGTCAAAGCCATAAGTAAAAGCCATAAATTTCCTGGCTGGGTCACAGTTCACCCGATTCATTTACCGAAGCATTATAAATGTTGTCCAGGCTCCAAATGTAACCAAACCCCGACATTCCGCGCAGCCTATAAGCGACAGGGAAGGTCATCTGGAGCTGCCATCATTTGATCTGATTGGGAATTGGTCCTCTCAGTACTTCAGAACTAAGGACCAGGAGAGTGTGGGGAGAGATCTTGTAAAATAAAGCTACTAGTTGCACTGTTGCCGTTGTTACTATTTTCACTCTAGGGGATGTGGGGAGTATTGTGCTCATTTTTCTGAGGCCGATACAAGCACTTCTGTTCTGTTTCCTAATGTTTCTTTCGTGCTGCAGGACCGGTTGTGTTACAGGCTGTGGCTTTTTAACTGATCTACCAGCAGGGCACCCTAAATATCATTCACACCACTGGCTCTGGTGTGACACAATAATAAATGACATTGGTCAATGTCACTGTTCCTCTACCCTTTCCGCACATGCATGCTTATGCTCCTCCATGAAAGCAGCAGGGGGAAAAATCGTAGGCCCAAATTTTATCACTTCACTCCCTCCCATGATTTTCTGGGTTAAGCGGGCTGCAAAAAAACCCCTGACGAATCAAATAACATAGGTAAATGTTACTTTTTTATGGTAGGCTAGTTTCAACACACAACCTCTCACACCTGTCTTCATCCTCCATCCAGATAAGCAAGAAGCCTTATAGAAGTCCAAGCCACATCCTGGCCAAGCAAAAACACTCAGTGAAGCAGGGCCAGTGAGAGGTGTGGCCTAGAGAGAGGGTGTGTGGCTGAGAGAGAGTTACGAGGGCCAGAGAGAGAAGCCTCAAGGGCCACATTCAACCTCTCCCTGGGCCCAAGGCCCCCTTTCACTTTGGTAGAGCCCGGATACAAAAACCGCTGCAAAATCTGAGCTAAAGATTCCTTGCCAGTCGGAGGCCTGGATGCAGGTGCAGAAAGAGAAGATTTTAATACAATTGCCTCTTACAACGAGATTACTTTCTGCCCCCCCTTCCTTGCCTGTGCTCTGTGCTGCTTCTATTCTTAAATGTGAAACAGCAATGCCCAAAAGCTATATGCTGAGGGAAGCAAAGAGAATCCGGGAAAAAGGAAAAAACCCAAAACCTGCAGCCTTTTTGCCTCACAGCCAACATTCCGTCTCTTTCGCCAGCCATTCATTCCTGCAATGTTTCGCGGTTTGCAAAGACATTTTGTATTTCCTGTCAAACTTTCCTTCCTTCAGGTTTTCTGAGGGTGGCTTGGAGATTGGTCCATGCTAGTATTGAAGTTTAGTTTGTGTGTATCTCAGGAAAACAAGACGTTTCACGAAGGTGGCCACCTGTTCGTAATTTTTACGGATTGTCCCGAAGAAGGAGAGAGCTTGTTATGGATGGAGCTTGTCCATATACATTTTGGGGTTTTTTTGTGGCCATCTGTTATTTGTATGAAGAAATGAGATCCCAGATGAATAGTGGTCAAGGCTGCATGAAGAATGAAACTCAAAGTATTCCATTGCTATTTGATAGACTCAATTAATCTATAGTCTGCTACAGACACAGTATTGCAAGATAGTTTCCTGTTGGTTGCCAATCTTATTTTAGGTTAGTGGGCACATTTGAGAAAGTACCATTGGTGCCCATCACAAAATGGCTGCTTTAATGGCATGGCATAACTCAAAATGACCACATCTCATACAGTAGAAAAAGAGAGAGAACAAGAAAATGGTGCAATCATCCATCCCATCATCAGAAAGCAGGAACATGGGAAGTCAGGCCATTGGTCCATCTAACTCAGTAGTGTCTACACTGACTGGCAGCAGCTCTCCAGGGTTACAGGCATGGTTCTCTCCCAGCACTGCCTGGAGATGCTAGGATTGGAACCTGGAACTTTCTGCATGCAAAACAAATGCTCTACCACTAAGCTATGGCCCTAGCCTAATCCTGAACTTGTTCCGGTAGCAAATTGCCAGGTGGGCAAAACCGATAAACAAGATGTCATCAGTTGTATCTTACGCCAACACTGATGATGTGAGTGTCCTTCAACACACCTGAGGCAATTGGCCAGATTAGGGAACCCGGAGATGGGGGGGTGGCTGGGGAATGGGGGGAGGCTCAAGAGGAACAGCTGTGAACTGCTGCTGCTACCCACCTGCATCTGCTGCCTGAGGCAATTGCCTCATTTTGTCTGATGGTCGGGCCAGCTCTGAATACCTGCTCTCATATCCTCGACACAGTCATGCTACTTCCAAATACTGCAAATATCTGTTTGAGGTTTCTCTGAAAGGAAAGTCTCCACACACTCTTAAATACAGGAATGTTTAGTTACATGCACAGGTGCTCTCAGGAAAGGATATTCTTAACCATATTCATATTGACTTCGGTTCCACTCCTTCCAGGCACCACGCCATCCATTCAGCTTCCAGTTTTCCTAGCTCAATGGAAAAGGTGAAAGCAAACCGTTTGTGAGCGTATGTGAAATAAGTTTCCACCATCTGCCTTAGGCAGGGATTGGAAGGTGATCCCTGGAGTCTACCAATGCAGTGCCCACGAGTGCCTCCTGTGGCATCTCCAAATATCTCCTTTTAAAAATCCGCCAAAGCCTGAGAGACTGTTTACACTTCCTACTCAGTTCCTGTATGCTCCAGCTCAGCCTTTCCTACACTGTCTTCCAGCAGATATTTTATATTATGCCAGTGCCCCAACCAGTGATTTTGTGACTGGTGCCCATAGGACTTTCCTCAAAATCCCAAACATCCCCAGTGGCCTAAAAAGTTGACATTTCATATCCCAGAGAAGCACTTATGGCTGGTTTCCTCAAACATGGCCCTCCAGATGTTTTGAGACTACAATTCCCATCATCCCTGACCACTGGTCCTGCAAGCTAGGGATCATGGGAGCTGTAGGTCAAAAACATCTGGAGGGCTGAGTTTGAGGAAGCCTGACTTATGGTGTCCTTCGCCATTTACACAGTTCCTTTCTCCCAAACCCACTTTAGCTTGTAGTGTATGCAGAAGGCAGAAATCTAGCTCACTCTTTCCCTCTGTCTTGTAGGTGGTACTGGCTGATCTTCAGGATTGGGTCAAGATTGGAGGGGACGGACTTCCCTAGGTCCCACCCAATGATATCCAATGAAGCTGAATGTTTGAAGATTCAAAACAGATAAAACAAAGTACTTCTTCATGCATGCATGCATAGTTAAACTACAGAACTCACTCCCACAGGAGACAGTGATGGCAACCAACCTAGATGAAAGCCTTCTAGAAAGAGGATTAGACAAATTCATGGAAGAGAGGGCTACCAGCAGCTAATGGGTATGATGTCTATGCTTTGCCTCCACAGTTAGAAGCAGTTGGAAGCAGCTTCTGAAAACCAGTTGCTGGAAACCACAGGAAGCGAGAGAGTCCTTGTGCTCAATTCCTGCTTGCAGGTTTCCTACAGGCATCCAGTTGGCCACTTGGAGAACAGGATGCTGGACTAGATGGGTCATTGGCCTGATCCTGCAGGCTCTTCTTATGTTTACCACCACCATTCCTGCCCTCTTTCACTTGGGGCCCCAGCAGTGGTGATGCTGCAACTCCCAGCCTCCCATCATGCTTGCTCCTGGGCTTAGCTAGCTGCGGTTGGAAGCTGGACAGCTACCTGGAATACTTTACAAAATACCTGTGTAACCTCACTTTCACCTATCACAAGAACACAGAAAGTGGCCTTAGATCAAGTCAGTCTGTTTTTTCCCCTAGCTCAGTTTTGTCTCCACTGATTGGCAGAAGCCTTCCAGAGTTTCAGGCAGGGGTCTCTCCAAGCCTTGCCCAGATATGCCAGGACTGAACCTGGGACCTTCTAAATGCAAAGCATTGTCTTACTGAGTTTAAATTTGTTGGAAGCCACCCAGAGTGCCTGGGGCATCCCAGTCAGATGGGTGGCATATAAATAATAATATATTATTATATTATTATATATTATTATATATTAATATATTATTACGATGACGATGATGTCACTGGGCCATTCCCATTAAATATTAAGAACACACAAAGTTCTCTTATACTTAGTCAAACCATCTAGCTCAGTATTGTTGGCACTGATGGGCAGAGGCTCTCTGGGATCAGCCAGCCTTGGGGCTCTCTGCCCGTCCCCAACAGAACTGTGGTTTAGTGGGAGGAAGAGGGGAAGGGGGTGAGGCAGTGGGAAGGAGCCAATCCAACACTCCCACTGGTGTGTCCACACAGCATCATTCATGCTGCTTCACCCCTCTTCCTTCCAGGAAGCCACAACAGTGAAGAGTTTGAAGAAGAAGAGGAGTTTGGATTTGATATCCCGCCTTTCACTCCCTTTAAGGAGTCTCAAAGCGGCTAACATTCTCCTTTCCCTTCCTCCTCCACAACAAATACTCTGTGAGGTGAGTGGGGCTAAGAGACTTCAAGGAAGTGTGACTGGCCCAAGGTCAGCCAGCAGCTGCATGTGGAGGAGCGGAGACGTGAACCCGGTTCCCCGGATTACGAGACTACCGCTCTTAACCACTACACCACAATGTCAGTGATAGGGTTCCAGGTCCCTCTCAGCCAGCCCCATCTGTGCTTCTCTAGGGTTTTAGAGAGGGGGAGGTCTCCCCAACCCTACCTGGAGATGCCTGGGATCCTGCATGCAAAACTCCTCAACTCTACAATTCTTTGATTCTATGAAAACCCACTTTCCCCATGAAGCTGTTTTCTCAACCCCTAGTTCCCACATCGTACCAGGAGTCTAAGCACATGCCACTGAAAGAACCAGATTGCTTCCTTGTTTGTGCCCTACCTCCACTTCCCTCTCCTCCCTTCCTCAGCTGTTCCTGTGTTGAATTTAAGGCAAAGAGACCTGCTCTCTCTTATATTCTGTAAAGTGGCCAGCAGACTGATTAAGCTACATAAGCCAACAAACAACCACTTCAAAAGCAGGTCATTAGCCCAGTTTCAACATTGTGTCCCTGTTGCACTTCACTCATTTAAGTGCTGTAGTAAACAGGCAACATTTTTAGAGTGTTATGTTTAGAAACGTTTGACTGGCAAGCAAATGGGCAAAATTTATAGCTGGAACTGAAGGCAGATTATGAAGTATTTGAAGTTCAAGGGTGCACAAACCCGCTGCTTTCCACTTGCCAGAAAAGCAAAGGACATTTGCAAACTGGAGGGTCATATTTCAGCTGCCACTCTTTGTATCTGGGATTTTTTCCCTTTACATCTGGCATTTGATGTCATTAGTCTCATCAGTATCAGCAGATGCTCTACAATTGTGAGTTCTTAGAACCCAGGTGAGAAAGGATCACATTATTGGTTCTTCTCCTCTTGAGTAAAGTATGAAGAAAGTGTTAACCTGTGAGAATGCTAACATGACAACATGGTATAAAAATGGGTTTAGAAAAGTAACAGTCAACTGAGGCTGCATAAACACAACATTATATTGTATGTTTTATGCACACTGAGATCTTGTTTATTTGTATCTAGTCCACAAACAATCTGGACCAATTGCTTATTTTTTACGCCTGAAAAGTGTCTTTTCACAAAATAGTTTCATTCAAAAACAAAAGCTCCATTCAGATTGATTCTGCATTACTCCTCAGTGTGTCCAACTGAAAACAGATGTAGGCAGTCTGAGCAATGGGGGTGTATCCACACCTGCCCAATGACGTTGTGGGTGGGCACATGCCAAGTTCAGAATTACAACTTCCTTCTTCATTCAACTAGGGCATATGCAGAAGGTAAAAGGTGTGGATAACCTGCTCAAGGAGAGTGTTTTCAATCACATATGCAGTATCCATGCCCTCCTAACAACTCTTTAAACCCTTAACAAACTACACCTCCCCTCCCCCCAGTATGCTTTGGAGGAAACCATGCCTCTTTAAAGTGGTATGATACTGCTTTAAATTTATAGTGTATATCAGGGTCAAAATAATAATAATAATAATAATAATAATAATAATAATAATAATAATAATAATAATCAGTGAAGCAAAACTGAAGTCAACCCACCCTTGGCTTAAGAGCAATGTTGGCATTTGATGCCAACTTTCTTCCATGATTCCCTTTTTGGAATTAGATTCCTCTTCTCCAACATCTCCTGCCTTAAAGAACATTACAAATCGTGTTGGATAGCATAGAGGAAGGCTTGAACGGTTAACTATTTATAGTATGATCCATACAGATGGAACCAATTCAGACATGAGTCATGCTGTGTCAAAGGCTGATACCTATTTGTTAATTCCTCAGTCTTGACTTGGCCTGAAATGTAAAAAGTGGTGACTGATAGCTCCTTGAGATAAACACCTCAAGCCCGCATTTCAATTTAGCACCGATAAGGCTGCTTTAATGTCATTGAACTACTAGCCTGGTGCAAAGCAGCTAATTAAGTTTCATTATTATGCAATGGGACTTGGCAATTGCGTGCAAATTGCTAATCTAATATATTGCAGATGTGCAGGGGTCAACTCTGACAAGAATGGGATTGTGTGCTGCAAAAGCTGAATGCCTAAACTGGGTGTTATGCTAAATTTGGAAAATGTGGTAGTCTGGGGTATTTTGTGGCTCCTTAAATCATTCTTTATAGGATAAAAATCTTTTTGTCTTCTGAAAAGCCATGTTTTGAAGCTCAGAGGTGGTGAATGCACCTATGCTTTAGCGAAATTTGTGTGAACTACTTGTTCTAAAGGGTCTTTATTCACAACCCCCTTCCCCACAAAAATTTCTAGCTAGCCTACATTTGGCAGGGGGTATCTCTAGTCTGTCTGCTCAGAAATGAGCCAGTTGTTTTTTTTAATCCCTTCCCCAATCTAAATTTCAGGCTTTCTTCCTGGTGGCAACATTATCCTGGTTCTCATTTTATAGAGAACCAAACTGCAACATTTCTGTTTTAAAGTAACCCACTTTATTTTACCTTATTTGTGAGAATTTTCAGAGGTGTG